TTTGGCATATTGTATTATGCACGCTGGTAACGGGACTGTATAAGCAAATATCGTGTTTGTCGTTCAGTTCATGTTAGTTAGGCATTACAATCCTTTTCCGTATTTTGTGGGTTGAATCAGGTCGGGGTCACGTCGTTGTCTATGCAAGGTTGTTTACATTAATGTTATGAATTTACAATCGTATCTAATGTTTTTCTAATAAAATCTTATTTTAATTTACACCCGGTGTTCGAAAGACAAAAACTTACAATTACGCTAACATTCATGAATAAGCTATGTAAGTATGTTTTATTTTACATATAAATCATTGTACACGCATGATGCTTACGTCTTCGCTGTAATGTTATGAACACAACTGTAGCTACTAGAATTATTAGCTTATTGGTAAAACGGCGCCACTTGTCTACACGAATAGACGCATGCGTATTTATATCCAAAACAGCTATGCCATATTAGTGCAGCGCGAAGGCAGGCGTGCGCACCGGACACCGCGACATCGCGCGGTCGTTCACCAGAGCTCTGGCCCTTTGCCCTGCCTACGGGATTGCGATACGGTCCATAAACATACCTACGTATGCGTAGTGCGTAGCTTGAGCTCTACTACACGAACGGGTTTCGCCCTCACCATCACAGTCCACTGTTTACTTTGACCGGTTCTCAAAATGGATACGATAGCCTAGGTAGTGCCAAAACAAAAATAAAAACACATTGAAAATACGCATTTAAAAACAATTTTCATGTTGCTCATAATGCCAGAAGTACAAGTTGAGCGCGTTATTTATAGTCATAATGTGCCCGTTATTTTGAGTTTAGTTTTCAGTCTTCCATCAATCAAGTTTGGTAGTTTCTTTTTGACATTCTTGCCAAGTATAATGTTAGTAGCGTAGCTTTTATGGGGTGTCGAAGTTAGTGGAACATTGACAAAGAGAGAGACTGTAAATAAAGAAAACCAAATCTACATGGTACTCTTTTTACACCTAATATCTGCTTAAACATCTCATATCTTACATGTAATAGTTACATGAGCGAAAGTAAATGTAACCATTGATAGTAAATCAAAGCTAGAGTACGAACAAATGTTAAACAGGTAGGTAGGTACCTACTAGTGTTAGTATTCGTATCATTAACATATGAGCGCCGAAGGTTCGGTTATAAGTTCAAACAATAACGCCCTTGATCGATCTATCTATCCGACTTGTATTATTATCACTTCTGTTACGTAAATAAACTACCGAGGTCTAATAATAAATGAATAAATTTGTAGAAGTACGATTGCAATATTTGACATGACATGTCTAAAATATTGCACTCGTACTTGTACAAATTTATGTAAGTCTTTATTTTAAATCTTCATTACTCCAGTAATGGGTTGGTTTCATATTTTAAGGAATATTTAGATCTGTTGAATCATCAGTGTTGACAAGTAATATAACCTTTTGTAATGCTTCAGTACGTTCTTACATTCTTAAGGAATCTGTCATAGTAGGTTGTGATAAACCTATTTAGAAAATAGAGTAAGACGGTAGAAGTACGTATAGGTATAGTAGGTGCAGGCGACTCATGGAACAAATATAATTTATGTGAATCTGTTTTTTTTTTCATTGTCGTCAAAGTTGCAAAGATATACAGATCTGCAAATACTCCTTACCTACCAAATCATTTATTTAGGCAAAAGTGTTAATTTATTACAACGGTTAATAAAGCCTATAAACTCTGTACACACTTTAATAAGGCCAGTTAGGGCACTCTCAGAGAAAGCTTTTAGCCTATACACAGCAATAACGTCGTGGAAACTGGTAAGAGAGCGTAGAATACAGGCCAGGCCGAAGTGGCGCCGCGTCCGGCCTTGCTACCGTTATATCTTAGAACAATTAAAAACAACAGCGGGTGTCGGAAAATCATCACGATTCAATAGGCTAGCTAGTGCTCTCATGCATGTTAATGTGTGTCCCGTGTAACTTGAGAATATGAGAACTTTATTTAGTAGTAGATCACATGCCTTTATAATAACTAAGCACCAAAGTTTGAAATCCCCAATTACGGTTCCCTACTTATGATACCACAGGTTTCCAAAGATAACATTCAACGCAAGGCCATAGAATCTCGCGAGAAAATGTATCGACGTGTGGGTAGAATGACTGTTGCATTATTGATGGAATTACGCCTGTCACTTAGGCTCCACTTTGCTTTGCACCGCTACCCAAGTCTTAAGTGCAACCATTTTCCCAACACGATTCCTCTGACGTGTGCGTAATATTTAATTAGCTAGAATATTGCTCTAAATGACTAAATAACGCGACACTTTTATTTATATGTAGGTAGGTAATTTGCATGAACCAAAACATAATATTCGCTTACATAGTGTAGGTTGAAGTAAGGTAATGAATGAACTAATGAATTACCTAGGAAGTACTGGTTTTGTACTTTTATCGAAAATACGTATACGTAACTAACTGTGTTTATCTTTACATTTACAAAACATATTTTATCTTATAGGCGTTGCAAAAATATTGCTCTAAATAATTTTTACCTTATCGAATGAATATCAACATGACCTATTTTTGTGTCTTGACCCAAAATGTCTCCCTTTCACGTATATTTTTCCTTTGTCCCTGAAGACTGCCATTAAGAAAACAACGTGTTCAAGACAATATATTGCGTTAGCCTTTTTACCTCCGCATTTTATTTCATACCGAGAATATGGAATTACGATTATTACATTGTTTCCAGATAAATTTTGATTTTTCCAAACCATGCCAGCCAGCCATAGCATTATCTATATTGCTCTTCCCACCTACAGCCAAACGATTATATCTTTCTCGCTTACTCCATGTGGCTTTGTGTTGATATTTTTATGTTGGTAAATTTTCTACAAGTGTTGCAACCATCTGGCAATTTGGTGTTTCATGGTAGATTTATATTATAATATCTTTCTATAAGACGCCTTTTCGATTCTTTTAATACGAAGTTACCTTACAAAAATGTAAAAAAGTTGATTAGAAACGCAATATATGCTGATATGTGCTATTTAATACACGAAAAGTAGAAAAAGAAAGTTTATCCTGTCTGAACACTCCGAGGTGATCATTTTCTTTCAAGTAGTTCCACCATCGTCATTACTGCTGCTACTACTGGAATTCAATTATATATAATTTCCGTAACATCTTTTGATATACTTTTACGACTTTATTGCTGTGGGGAAAAAAAGTTAAAATACGAGTATTATGATAGAAATAGCATCTGAAAAATTATAATTTTTAAAACGTTAAGAAGATGTGCTAATCACTTTTTTGCTACTTGATTAATCATACGACGGTGACGATATTATAGTATATACGATTTACGGTTACGTACAAGTTCTGCCGAATTGAGGTATGCACCTATCGTCGGCGTTTTGTAGAAATATAAGCGAAGTCATAAGCGACATTTAGTAGATTTTTCAGGTTCGCATGTTTAAGGTTTCAACGACTGTTTATAATTTACGTCCTATTTCAAAATTACATTTTAACACTTATACATTAAAACCTAAATTAAAAATGCTCCCCTGAAAATGTACGACGTGTTGCTTACGACCTTTCTACAAAACACCGGCGATATCTCAATATAAAATAAAAGTCAGCAGCGGTGGCATCGTATTCTGCCCTAAGAATTAAAAAAGGCACAACTGTCATACCTCTAAAGTACGCATAGTTGTGCCTTTTTTCAATACGAGGGCAGTATTTTAGTACCAAGTGAAACAGTATACAGATTTAAAAACAAAATTGAATCTTGCTGGCTATCGTAGAGTTTCGACACAATGTTAAATAAATATGTTTGGACGTTCTTGAAACATACTTTTTTACATACTCGGTGATACTCAATGGTTGGAAAAAGATGTTCCACATACATGTAGTATGTTCCACATAGATATAGCTACAAGAAGCGACATAGAGTCGTTAAAACCACCAATATTCATTAATTATTGTTTCGAATTCCGGATTTCCGGAAACGCTTTTCCTGTATCGTAGGACAAAGTTACTGACATGGAAAGTCGAAGTTAGATTTTAAAATAATTCTGATGGTGTCATGTAAAAAATGCAGTACATAACTGACCTTAACCGAAGCACAGAATAATAAATAACGAGAATGGTCGCTCTGCGCCCTCCCTAGCTTTAGATACCGCACCGCGCTTCGCATATTGACGGTCACATTTACGGAATGGCGACGTTTGCTAGTAGAACTTAAGAAAAGAACGTAAATTAAAAATTTTATTTACGAGGGGAATTCTGGGACATTTTAGTTTGCATGAGAATCATTCTGATCGCGCTCTATAAATATTTTAATTAAATTAAAAAACACAGTATAACAGATGTTCATGAACTACTTGCAGAAATGTCTTAATTTAGAAGGAAAATGTTCACACTAGATTATTTTAATACTTTTTATAAAAATAAAATTGCTGGACGCTTAAATCAAGACGAAAAAGTGCCATTGTGGACGGCCTTGCGGCTTGTACGGCTATTTGTCTTCATAAATAGAATAAAAAGAGGAGTTTATTTCATCCGGAATAGGAAAAGTAATTAATTAATATTTGATGGTTTTAACAACTCTATGTCGCTTCTTGGAGCTAAATTATGCGGAATACCTTTTTCCGACCTCTGGTGATACTGAACAAAATCAATAAAAACATGGACGGCTCTGGTAGGAAGCGAAAATTTTAGATGGCAACATTACTCTGTGTGACAGGCAGCCAGCTGTGTGGAATGGATTGAAAAATATCTCGAAGCGTAGCCGTCCTTGATGTGTCATCCATTTCAATTATTTTATTGAAACGTGGTCTCCTTTCCAGTAGAATTTACTGTAAATTTGTTTATTTATCGACAACGTGGTGTTTCGAGTATTTAATTTTAATTGAATTTGTCGTCTGCTTCGGTGGCAGGTAATGGTAGTAATTCTTTGTAAATGTTTATGTAACAAAGCATTGTTCAGATCGCTGACGGAGTGTTCTGTGTTTGTTCCAGATAGCTGTGCCGTGTGTCAGTGCGTGATAACCCGAGTGGCGAGTGCGTGGTGTGTGGTGATGACGCAGTGAGGAGTACAGGCACCTCTCGTTGGAGGTAGCGCCGTGGATGCGGAGGCAGCGGTGTAGCGCTGAGCCGGGCATGGTGCCGGGCAGGTAGCGCGCGCGGGCGGCCTGCGCAGGCCCCACACAAGCAGCCGCGTGTGTTCCCCAGCGACGTCTATGGCCGAGCAACACAACTCACCGTCGGCGCACTCTGCACTATCGAGAGAGTCCAACGGGTAAGAATTATTTTCGCTCAGCTGACAGCCACTTCAATTTGATGTGTTTGATGTTGGGTCAGTAATTTTGACTAGACAAGGACTTATTGATACTTAAAATTTGATAGTTTGAGGATTCCCTAATAATAACTAATAAAAGTAACTGCCTCCATGGCCGAACGGTTACCATACTGGACTGTCACACGGAGGTCCCTGGGTTCGATTCCCAGGCCGGGAGAAATATTTGTATGGCCTACCATTATTTCTCTTGTGAGTTTGGGTGTAATTTGTGGTTGTCTATGTGTGTGCTCATAGCACCCGCGACACAGGGTTTCCCTAGTGCGGGGCTATGTTGAGTGTGTGCATTATTATTATTATTTAATCTTTTTACCTTTAATTTCCTGTGCTCTAGGCAGAGATGTTGGTCAATGTACTGATTAACTAATTTATCTTTAATATGAATTTTGTTGCAAACTTCATGCAGTATCACTAATAATCAGTATACAATTTCACTTTTTTAAATTTTCTTTGTGTGCGGAACAAGCTTATTTTGGGGTATGCACTGTAGGGACATTTGTACTCACACAATGTGCACATATAGTATCATTTGTACCTTTTTACATATAAGTGGGTTGATCTGTTGAGACCAAAACTTACTCTGTGTTGACTTACATGGATAAAAATAATAATAATGCACACACTCCACATAGCCCCGCACTAGGGAAACCCAGTGTTACGACTGCATGGACATATACATAGACAATCACAAATTACACTTAAACTCATGAGAGAAATAAATGTAGCCCGTACAAATATTTCTCCTGGCCTGGAAATCGAGCCTAGGACCTCTGCGTTGTACTCGTTCAGCCACAGAGACCTAACAAATAATAAAATTGGTCCTAGGGCATTGCTATCTTTGATTTTGTTTTTCAACTCAGAGCATAGATAATTAGAATTGAAAGCAAAAACTATTCTGTTCTATTTATTGTAAGTCACAAAATGAAATAAAATAAAATGTTCTCATTATATTTAAACTGGGTAATCTAATATTTTGTTATTTCACAATGAATTAACAAAGTTAATTGTGAAAAACAGCAAGTCAGTCTATTTAAGGTATTATTTATTGCTAGTTAGTGTAAAATATGTGTAGCATTATAGCATAATGAAGAAATGTAAATAGTCAATAAGCTCACTCATAGTGTACCCAAAGCTGTGCATCTCATACATTCATGTATTCACATCATGTATAGGTTAGATTATATAGTGACAAAACATATGTGTTGAAAATGGTTTGCAATCCCTCTTGATCTCTGAAACCTCTACCCTGTTATTGAACTTGAGTCATGGCTTCATGATTCAGCAGTCAAGATATTTTTTGTTTGGTTTGTTACTTATTGCCATAATCACCTACTCTGGAAAGATTTTAGTAGAATTTTTTATTCATATCAAGTATATATTTGCATATGAATAAAAATCTCCTATTGAAGTATTGAAAATCTGATAACACAAGTTGCGTAACCTTGTGATGTAGTTTTATGTTGCATGTGTAACTTTTTACAAGGTTGCTTTAGTGCTGCACGTAAAGTTGACATAATGTATTTTTATAGCCATCATTATTATTTTATTTTCAACTAAGATGTTTTAGTTGTCAAAATTTCAAGTGTAATTTAGCCTACATATATAATTGATCTAACAGTGAATCATCTGTACCAATCAATGAAATAGATGATTTTTGTAAAGAAGATACAAGTTGTTCAATTTGTAGTAAATATAAATGTATTGTATATTGTCTAGATTAGATACAAGCTTTTAGAACATAATCCTTCTAATAGTATTGTATTGTACACTAAACTTGTTTATTAAGTAGTTTTTGTGGCCTATACACATATTAATGTGCATGTGTGTCACATGACAGGTCTTCTCCTAGCAGGGTGGTGGGCGGTCGGTGGTTGCGCCAGGTGCGTCGAGCAAGTCACAGCCGCCGGAGCAAGCGCCACGCGACGTCGCCGTTGTCGCGCTCCGCATCGCGCCACTCGCGCGGAGATCGCGACGCCGCGGCCGAGCCGCACGCGCGCCTCGAGCTGCGCCGGAGCTCACGCCTCGTCAGCGCACTGCCCCGATCGGACTACTCTCTTAGTGAGCGCTGGTCGTACGGAACCGACGTCTACGAGACGCGTTGTGAGCCGCTGCATCGTCCCGGCGACCACTCGTACTCGTACTCGCACGCTAAACGCGCCCGTACTTCCTCGCATGACAAGAAAAAACGCAAAGGCCATTCGGTTTCCCACACCACTGCTGACGAGTGCGTTGCCTATTGCACACGTTCACGGACTGCTCTTAGATCCAGTGAGAGTGTTTGTGAGCATATACCGAACAGTTTAAAAGCACATTCGCTGTCGAACTATTCCTTGAACGAGACCACGCCTTCGACGCAGTTGAATTCGACGGAAGGTGGCTTATTGCCGCTCGACGAGAGGGACTTTGCATATTCGCCGTTCAGCTCGTCGACAGTCACTGATCTCTTAGATTCGGATTACTCCACATACAGCCCCAGAGCTAGCAGAAAGAAAGGAAAGAAGAGAAAGCGTTCGGCGCATCGATCTCTATCAAGTAGGAAAAGCTACTTGATCAACTTTGAGGAGTGCAGAAAGAGACTTAAAATAGATCCACAGAGTAAAGACTTACCTGATACGAGTAAAGAAACCAGTGTAGAAGGCAGGGCTTCTAGGCAGGAGTTTGACAAAGCTGACGTAAGTGCATCACAATCGCCCTGCTCTTACCTGCTGCGAAACAGGTCACATCGCGACCTTGGTCCTCCCACCGCTACCGTCACTAGTGATACAGGTAATCAACTTGACCAATACATTACACTGATAAATGATAAGTGTCCAGTGCTATTGTTTTCATGCAAAATAAAACACTACTGCATTTAGTATTAGAGAAAATAATAGGTGATAGGTCCCAAGTATATTTCAAACTTTGCTCTATTAATGTTGTATATTTTAAGGTGTATTAACAACCTTTGAATACTTTAGTTTGTGCTCATGTTATCATTGCGTTATCAGTGTTATGAAGGGCAGTCATTCATCGTATATAATAAATGTGCGATAATTGTGTTGCAGCAAGTCCGTCAGCGACTGACGCGCTACTCGCTCAGACAGTCGCAGATCGTCGTAGTGTCAACGATACACGGGGTGGGACCGCTACTCCGCCGCCCTACAGGGACATTCTAGGTAAGTCATTAATCAATCACTGCTAATCACTAATCAATTAGTTAAGTAGCCTCCTAATTAAAGTCATTACAAGTTACGCCTTTATTCACAGAAGCCGGCTCATCGAAAACACATAGTTCGGGCAGTAAATTACTGATAGTACCGCGAGATCTTCCGTACTTACGTCAAACTAACGCCAGGAGGGTGAGTAGAAATAGTTGTTTCTTCACTTTACGCCGTTCTAAGTGTATTGACGTATTTTAAATCTATGTTACTTCTGTCGTAATGTTGGTATAAAATACATTCCGTGGTTACTGTGTTTCAATTATGCAGAGTATCGCTGCTGCAACGGGTGCGACTCTGGGTGCTTGCCTGACGAGGGGAGCTAACAGTTCTCAGCGACAGAGGCAGGACACCTCTTCAAAAAGACAGGTATAACTAAATCGGCTTGTAGTCTCATCTAACAGTCATATTATACAATATTACATTTTTTATTACAGTTTTGTTACAGTGTAATAGCAAAGAAAATACCTTGTTTGCGATAATTTTAAATCAAATTATTTTTGGGCGTTTTTAAATTAATACTGTAATGTTTTCAAGATATTTAAAAGAGCAGCTTAATAATAACACTGAACTAGCATGTACAGGAAATTGGGATCAATAACAACTAATCATAGATAGAATTGTTAATAACAAAAAAAAAAGCCATTGTAATGTATCACATACAATAAACATGGGCATCACACACGGTTAAGATACAAAACGTTACTTATCTATAAAAATTTGTGCAATTTAATATTGGATTAGCTAGACAGATTGACAAATGACTGTCCATTGAATTTTGTAACAACAAATGTTGCGAAAAATACTCGATACATACATCTGCGAAAATTTTACCATATCTCGAAATTTTGTACAAATTTGATTGGTTACCCACTCAGTACTAAGTTGCGCCTTAACGCTCTTCGTCCGTTATTGTCCTATCTTGTCTTGTGATTTTTACGCTAATTTTTTCACTGTTAAAAGTGATGTATTGTATAATTCCCTGCTGATTCAGACGGGCTAAGTCAGTTGAGGTCTTCAAAATTTTAGTAAAAATTCGTTATCTGGTATTTAAATATTAAATTTTTGATAAATATTGACCATTAATTTTTAATTAAATTAATGGTCTATATTTATCAAAAATTTTTTTTTTTTTTATAACAGGTTTTACACAATGACTATTGACACATATTATGATGACCTTTTATTTATTATCATTTAAGTTTATTCTGCTTTCTGAGGTTGTCTGGACGACTGGCTGTTGTAGTTTGCGTTTTGTTTGTTCTTGTGAATTTTATTGTATTGAAAAATACCATCTCAACAACAATTCGCAGGTATCTGGTGAAGGCGCGGGCAGCAGTGCTGCGGGCGGGCGGCGAGCGCGGGCTCGCGATATGCCACAGCCGCAGCCGGCCTCCACGCGTCGAGATAAACGTGGTATACAAACGCACATGCACACCTGTATTTCATACCCCATTGTTTTTTTTCTGTTTTCTGGAATTCGTTTCTGAACTATGTCTATTTAATTAGCAGGGAAAAGCAGTCTGGGTTCGTGTGCCAGCACTGGTGGTGCGTCCAGCCGGTCCCACCCCCAGCCGTTAACCACGGTAAAAATACCTTAGTCTATTATATTTATAGACACTTTTTTATTGAGCAAAGCTGTTGTTTTGTTTAACGAATTTTTGTCCTCTAACCCGGAAGGTCATCTGTTGTCATGCGAACGTCAACCTGGACATCAGTCTGTACGAGATTAGGATGGCTCTGACACGGCTAAAAAACAACAAGGCACCGGGTGAAGACGGAATTACATCCGAGCTTCTGAAAGCGGGTGAAATACCGGTAGTAAGAGTCCTTCAGAGGCACTTTAATTCAGTCTTGCTCGAACATACTACGCCAGAAGCGTGGTGATACTCTTCTTCAAAAAGGGCGATTACACCCTATTGAAGAATTACAGGCCCATCTCGCTTCTAAGCCACGTTTATAAGCTGTTTTCACGAGTCATCTCGAATTGTGTCGCGCGCAGATTCGATGGACTTCCAGCCCCCCGAACAAGCCGGTTTCCGAAAGGGCTTCAGTACCATAGACCACATGCACACACTGCGACAGGTTATACAGAAGACCGAGGAGTATAACCTGCCATTATGCTTAGCGTTTGTGGGCTATGAGAAAGTCTTTGATCCGATCGAGATTTGGGCAATGCTACAGTCTCTACAACGGTGCCATATTGTCTATCGATATATCGAAGTGTTAAAGTGTTTGTACAGAAAGGCCACTATGTCAGTTCGACTCCAGGACTCTGGTCCTGTGGTTGGATAGGTCTTGTGCCAGTGCACAAGACCTATCCAACCACCAGGAGTGAGACAGGGAGACGTCATTTCTCCGAAACTGTTCACCAATGCATTGGAAGATGCCTTCAAGTTACTGAACTGGAAAGGACTCGACATCAACATCAATGGCGAGTACATCACTCACCTTCGATTTGCAGACGATATCGTGGTCATGGCAGAAAAGTTGGAAGAGCTTGGCACCATGCTCAGTGACCTCAATAGAGTTTCCAAGCAGGTGGGTCTAAAAATGAACATGGACAAGACTAAATTTACGTCGAATGTCCATGTCATACCCACCCCTATAACAGTGGGAACCTCTACTCTCGAAGTTTTTGACGAGTATGTCTACGTCGGACAAACTGTTCAATTAGACAGGGCCAACTTCGAGAAAGAGGTCAATCATCGAATACGGCTCGGTTGGGCAGCTTTCGGGAAGCTCCGGGACGTCTTCTCGTCCGCAATACCGCAGTTCTTGAAGACAAAAGTCTTCGAGCAGCGTGTGTTGCCAGCGATGACCTACGGCTCTGAAACGTAATCACTTAAAAATTATGGATCTCATAAAAAAGCTCAAAGTCACTCAACGAGCTATAGAGCGAGCAATGCTCGGCAATTCTCTACGTGATCGAATCAGAAATGAGGAGGTCCGTAGAAGAACGAAAGTCGCCGACATAGCTCGAAGTATTAGCAAGTTGAAGCGGCAGTGGGCAGGGCACATAGCTCGTAGAATTGGTGGCCGTTGAGGCAGAAAGGTTCTTGAATGGAGACCACGAACCGGACGGCGTTCAGTGGGACGGCCCCCTACGAGATGGACGGATGACCTGGTAAGGGCGGCGGGTAAGCGATAGATGCACGTCGCGTTCGATCCGCCAGTCTGAAAATCTTTGAGGGAGGCCTAAGTTCAGCAGTGGACGTCTTCCCGCTGACATGATGATGATGAACCCAGAAGGTCAAATTACATTAAAAACCATGTTTTTAAAGGAAATAAAACTATTTCATCAAACCCTTGGTCACTTGGTACCTGTAAAAATCCTTCGATTCCCTGTAAAAACAAGATTCGAAAAAATAATTTTTCTGTCTGTCTTTCGATACATTCACTCTGCCATATATGATAAAGATCATAAACGCCGTAATCGACTTTTTAGCGAAATTGAGCTTTAACATATCAGGAAACAGCAAAATGAGATCTACAACCTCTTATAAGTGGTTTTTTCATATTTTATTACTTTCAGTTTTATTGTTAAACAAAAATCGTTATATTTAAATGTTAAAAAAAATTTCTGATGCCAATATCTCGAAAGTTACCAAAATGCAAATACGTTGTTTGTAATAAGGAGAGCCGTCACTGTCGTCAATTTAGTTTTTATTTGTCGTTATCTAAATGTAAGTTTTTTGTATAGGGTGCCGTGGCATCTACGTCTTCCACACCGCCGGCGACGGCTTCGGCAGCTTCAATGCCTGACAATGCGTCTAACGATGCTAAGTCCAAAAACAAAGGTAAAATTTTGCGGTTGCGCGAATTTACGCACTTGGAGAGCTAGATGAGTTTGGATTTCGAGTCCCGGTTTGACAATTTCAGAAACGAACTTTTTTTAATTTGTTATGGGTAGCTTCATCGTCTCTGGTACTCATAATATAGGGAGTTCCCTAGTTTCTAACCATGAAATTAGTGTGGTTGTGTCTTGTACATTATAATAATAATAATACTGAAATCCAATTGTTCTGTTTGTCAACGGGTTAATTCTAGCTCATACTGCAGAAAGCGATACTGCTTAGTACGGCAAGTCTCATTCGCGGGTTCTTAAACTTGATCTCTTGACCCTAGACGACTGTGCCATTGTCGGGTAATACCGCGTGTCTCATTTTCTATACAATATTATTATCGTTTAGGTCACGAGATAGGCGAGAGTCTAAACTGGATAACAATTATAATAATAATGTGCATGTAATGTAAGTGACTGTTTAGAGGAAATTAAATCGAACCTTGTATAAACCTTCTCAAAGTTCTTAAATATCACGTAATTAAAGTAAATGAAGATGTCAACCAAACCGTAATCTCAGATACCCTGTTTGGACCGATCTCTGTTCAAAAGTCATGTGATGACTGATTGTTGTCCAAGTTGTTAATTATTGTTTTCTTCTCGTAGCATCGTCCTCGGCGGAGGAATGCAGCGGCGTTGGCGGGGGTGGGAGTCTGGGCTCCGGTCCGGCGGCGGGCGCTAGCGGTGGTGCCGGGGCCACCGAAGAGTCCTCCTCTGAAGAGGGCGAAGTAGGCCGTCTGCAGGCGCTGCTGGAAGCGCGTGGATTACCACCGCATCTGCTTGGGGCTCTAGGGCCCCGGATGCAGCATCTGCTGCATAGGACTGTTGCGGCTAATTCAGGTACAAACTTAATTAGTAATGTTTTTTTCGTATCAACTTCTATAATGCGTATCATTACTAGGAGAGAAATAAGAGCTCTATAAGAATAGATGAAGTATTAATAATTATATTCTCTAAAAACATAATGTTCCAGGACTGTAGGCATATCATTATGCAAGTTGCAGAAACTGAAATTAGTCTAATAAAGATTGGTTTACAGGTATGAGGAAAATTTCCTGACGAAATCCGGGGCAATAATTCATGAACATTAAATTTTTATTGAATTGATATTCAATTATTTTTTGTGAAATTTCTCCACTAGTTTGTTTAATTGTATTAATACGACGAAATAATTTCATAGATTTCTTATAGATGGCGCTACAGCTAAAAAGAACAAGCGCATAGAAAAATTCGTTAGGTCCGCTGGTTCTTTTCGTGGCTTAGTTGGCATAGCGTTTGGCACGGTTTGCTAGAAGACGTCGGTTCGAATCTGGCCGCATCGAAGGAATTTTTCCTGTGTTCGATCTTTGTATTAATAATTATTACATACTAACAGTTGAAATAGCTGGTAGCAATAGCCAGCAACAATTTGAATATCGTGTATTTTATAGCTGCATCTAAAGCAGCCCAGCTTCTCGCGGGGCTGCAAGCGACCGGCGACGAGGGCCAGCAGCTGCAAGCTGTAATTGAGATGTGCCAACTGTTGGTAATGGGCAACGAGGACACACTCGCCGGCTTCCCCGTACGTCAGGTCGTGCCCGCACTTGTTAACCTGCTCGCTGCGGAGCACAACTTCGACATGGTGAGCTAATATTCGGAACTTAATATTCACAGAAATAAATGTATGACACTTTGAATAAAAAATCGACAATAAATTTTAGGATTCACGTATCTTACAAGACCTTTTTTATTAAATATATATATTTTGTTTACAACCAATATAATCAGACTAGGAATATTACATATTTCAAAATATAATATTAAATTTTTAATACAGATGAACCATGCTTGTCGTGCTCTAACGTACATGTTGGAAGCACTCCCGCGCAGCAGCGGCGCTGTGGCGCTGGCAGTACCTGCGTTCTTGGACAAACTGCAAGCAATCACTTGCATGGACGTAGCCGAGCAGAGTCTCACTGCGCTTGACATGCTCTCGCGCAGACACTCCAAGTCTATTTTGCAGGCAGTTAGTATTCAACTCTATCTTCTCTTATAGAACTCTTAGAACATCCTTAGTGCAGTAAAACTCCTGGTGAAAGAGTTTAGTTCAGGGAGGTACTGCCACCTTTCCTATTTTTGCCGCTAAGCAGTAATATGAACATTATTCCGGTCAAGTTTTGAAAGGTAAAGGTGCTGGTGAAATTACAGGCACATTGGACTTGTGAACTTATATCTTAGGGTGATGAGCGCAGTGACAGTGCCCCTCACATCTTTGCGATTTAAAACTCTGAGTAGCACTGCTAATGCTATGAATAAGCGTGCCGCATACTCAACAGACGCTAGACTTGTTCGTCCCGTCACTTGGTATGATGAAAAAAGGCAGATGAAATTTGTCTGTCTACATATGACTGGAGATGTACCAACGTGTATGACGATATTTGTCACAAAATTCGTAACATGTGATAATCTCAGTTCATAGTACTAAAAAAAAAACCGACCTCAAAAGTCATTCATCCCCCAGTTGGCCACACTTAGAGGTGGAATATTTTCTTCAAATTTAAATGGGACTACTTCTGAGGTACCCTCTTTCCAATAAAAAAGAATCATCAAAATCGGTTCACAGAGTTATTGCATAACATAAAAAACACACTCTAAATGAGAACCTCCTCCTTTTTTAAAGTCAGTTAAAAAGACAAACTGATAAGACGAAAAATGACGTATGTAATAATTCGATATTTCTTCCAGCGTGGTGTATCCGCGTGTCTGACGTATCTGGACTTTTTCTCAATAAATGCGCAGCGCGCCGCGCTTTCTATCACAGCTAACTGCTGCCAGAACTTGACACCTGACGAGTTCCATCTCGTCAGGGATTCTCTGCAACTACTTGCTAACAGGTATGGACTGCTTATCAAATATGTATATGAATACTCGTTTTTAACTTGTTGAGTGAAATATAAGTTACAAATGCACACTTTGACACTTAAACGATGTTACAAATCAATGAAAGTGTGTGCTCCATCGACCTCATCGTCTCTTTCCATCAAGCGAGATGGAAGCCAAGTCTTATTTTTTTTTAAATCCATGACTGAAAACAAAGCTATAGGTAAAAATAAGAAAACAGGTCACATTTGCTTGGGTGCATTTTACTGCTGACTCTAAATCTACACCAACATCATTATCGTATTCCAGATTGACGCAACAGGACAAAAAATCAGTAGAATGCGTCTGCCTGGCGTTCTCGCGACTGGTGGACAGCTTTCAGCACGACCCGGGTCGTCTCCAGGAGATAGCTACACCGGAGCTGCTTACTAACTTGCAGCAACTTGTAAGTACAATCTGTTTTTGGTTATGTTTCTGTAAGATTTCATGACTTTTATGCATGTTTGATATCGAAAAAACGTGTTATCAGTCCATACTTAAAACAATAATGTTATATTGCTCTATCGGTTGCGCAGTTGGTAGTCCAGCCGCCGCTTATCTCTGGCGGCACATTCATCACAGTGCTGCGTCTGCTATGGGTGATGTGCGCGGCATGCCCGCAGCTTGCGTTGGCGTTGCATCAGCGCTCCATTGCCGACACGCTGCTCTGTCTGCTCACCGGCTCCACTGTCCACCAGGAGGTATACATAGCTGTAACCTTATTTACTATGGTCTCTCTGTTTTGAAGATGGAGTAAAATGACATTTGCAGGGTTGTCAGTTTTCGTAAAATTTTAATTTAAAACAACTATCGAGTTAGATTAACGCGATTGTTACACATAGGAAATGAAACTATTTTTCCGGATTTCAATCGCGTATATATATTTACAGGTCCCATGGTCACTATTGACTCAGTCAAGTCAGATCCCATGGTCACGGCAGACTGAGTCAACCATGACCATGGGACCTGTAAAGGGCCCGAAGCGTCGGTTTGTTTGAAAAAACAAATATACGCGATACAAAATAACTAATCAATTGTTACTTCCACAGCAAGTAGAACTGATTCCACGCCTGCCACAAGAGCTGTACGAGATTACATGTCTAATTGGTGAGCTGATGCCGCGTCTGCCGACGGATGGCATTTTCGCCGTAGACGCCCATCTCGACCGGCCCTGGTCTGCTGCTACTGATCGCACGCCACACTGGCAGTGGCGCGATGACAGAGGTGACTTGTGCTTTTAAGATTAGTAGATAAATTACAAAACTGGAATCGCCGAAGAGAACGCTTAAATTAATTGCACAATAATAATATTTTATTTTATTCAAATATTTACAATACCACTTACATAACGGTATAAGAAATTACACACTTTAACAGTTAACTTTATAATAGTTTTTGAATAATAGAAATCTTTCAATAGAATATCTTTCAGCTTGAACAAATGGACACTGACTAAGAGTAACTTGTCGAGTAGGTTTCAAAATTGCGTAAAAGCTTACTGACCGATTTTTTCTTCACGTATTAATTAATTTTGCAGGTGTCTGGCGCTCGTACTCCTGGGCCGAGAGTCGCGCTCTGGAAGCAGGCGCAGCTGCAGGCGAGGAGGAAGTGTGCCTTACGACATTAGGGCGCTCCTACACAGTAGATTTGACTGCTATGCAGCAGTTAAACGACCACACAGGCACTGCACGTCCTGTACAACGCGTCGCGCCTGCGCCACATCCTACAGATCAATCTAGCTCTTCAAGTGCCGCTGCACCGGGTACGTAACTATTACTCGTATAACTTTTACCAAATGAGTATCGTTTAAATATTACATTATTACCCTTAATTTGTGCGACAAACAGTCTCTTTTACTTTTTTAAATCTTTTTGCCAACAAGTAATCGGTCTTATTTGAGACCATAAGCAGTATTTATATATTTTGGCATGCCCTTTCAACATTGGCTTGCCACTCAGCAAGTTGAATCGCCAATGTGTTTATGCTTCGATCTTCTCACCTGTAGTGATACACACAATACGGTAGCCAGTTTGCTAGTAACTAAACGCCTCTGAATTAGCTCCATAGTCTTTTTGCGATGAATATTAGCTGGACGTTCTTAGTCGACAGTGTTTGAGACGGTGTTTATGATTGAACACTCCGATTACATTATTGAAAGTTACTCACACAATTACATGGTTTCAAAGGAGATACAGAAGCGAAAAGGCTAGTGTTGCCAGCTATAATTAAATTATCAAAATTTGTGTTGTTTTTGAGTACTACTACCGCACTACTAACAGACAGTGAGAACGTACCTAACTTTCTAGACAAGATGCTTCGTTACCGCCCATGATATGTTTGGTGAGCCAATAATGATAATGTTGTAATAATGTGTTGTAAAATTTGGAAATTCTCTATAGTATAAACGGAATTAACTTCGGGGCACTACCTAAAATACTCAGACCAGAACCAATTTACAAAAGATCGTTTACTAAATTGGGTCCTACCGGAAATCGGACCCAAAACTACATTGCAAAACGTTGGGCCACCGAGGTCATCTGAGTAAAATAATAATTTAAGGTGGAGTTCACGAACATTCGAGGACTCCACAGTAACATCCACGCCGTCCATCAACATCTTGAGACGGCTCGACCAGAAATGCTGTTCCTTACGGAGACGCAAATACTCTGCCTGGCTGACAGCAGCTACTTGAATTACCCTGGCTATATGCTTGAAGAGTCCTTCAAAGCGAAAGCTGGGGTCTGCTTGTTTGTCCGGGCAGATGTTTGCTGTCGCCGTCTGCGTCATTTGGAGGACCCCTCCTTCTCCATCCTTGGGGTACATGTTGACCTGGGCAGTCATTGCCGTGTCTACATGTGCCTCTACAGATCCCACCACGGCGACATGGAGACAACTCGTCTCATGGACCACCTTACTCGGGCGGCAGATGACGCGCAGGCGCAGTTTCCTACAGCGGAGTTGGTGTTTTTGGGGGACTTCAATGCTCACCACGAGTCGTGGTTAAGTTCCTCTAAAACTGACCATGCTGGAAGAACTGCCCACACATTCGCTCTCACACACGATTTAACCCAACTGGTGAATCAGCCCACCCGGATTCCAGATAGGGTTGGTGACGCGCCCTCTTTGTTGGACCTTCTGCTGACGTCTCGCCCGGCTGGATATCGGGTGGTGGTCCAAGCCCCTCTGGGCACTTCGGATCACTGCTTGATATCCACTAAAGTGGCAACGTTACTGCCACCACCACCTACTGTGGCTAAACGCCGCATTTGGCATTATGCGTCGGCAGATTGGGACGGTATGCGGGACTATTTTGCATCCGTTCCCTGGCGGCAGCGCTGTTTTAGTGAGGTGGATCCAACAGCTAGCGCGACTGCCGTTGCTGATGAGATCTTAATCGGGATGGAATACTACATCCCGCATTCGGATCTCGTCAGTAAAGGGAGGCGCAACCGCTGGTTCAACCGCGAGTGTGCTGTGGCTGTTGAGAACAAACAGACTGCATACCGCGCTTGGATCAGGGGTCTAGCTTCAGACGATCCCAATACGAACTCACTTAAAACAGCCTACAATAATGCCACCAGGTCTTGCAAAAGAGCGTACATCAGAGCGGATGCTCAGCGCGTCGCACGAGTTGGCCAAGAACTCTTGACGCATCCCACAGGTAGTCGTAGCTACTGGCGTCTGGCCAGAGCCGTTGCGTCGAACTTCTGCCAGCCCTCGCTGCCACCGCTGAGATATTCTGACGGCAATCTAGCCCACAAGCCGCAAGATAAAGCCGACCTCGTGGCAAATCTGTTTGCGGCTAACTCCTGTCTCGACGACTGTAACGCACAGCCACCAACTCTACCTCACTGTGGCTACACGATGTCTGATATTCGTATCAGACAATGCGATGTGCGTACGCAGCTGCAGTCTCTCGACGTCCGGAAAGCTAGTGGTCCTGATGGTATCCCAGCGATTGTACTTAGGAATTGCGCAGCTGAGTTGACTCCCGTGCTAACGCGACTGTATCGTCTGTCGCTCTCTTCAGGTCGTGTGCCGGACTCTTGGAGAGAGGCTAATGTGCAACCAGTTCCCAAAAAAGGCGACCGATCAGACCCGCATAATTACCGTCCCATAGCCATTACTTCCATAATATGCAAGGTTTTAGAGCGGATCCTTAATAAACAACTGACCCAATACCTAGAAGATCACTCCATAATTAATGATCGGCAGTATGGGTTTCGTCCGAAACGATCAACGGGTGACCTTCTAGCGTACTTATCGCATATTTGGGGTGAGGCTATAGACAAACGTGGCGAATCGTTGGCTGTTACCCTCGATATAGCCAAAGCGTTCGATCGGGTCTGGCACAAAGCTCTTCTCTCCAAGCTCCCGGCGTACGGTTTGCCAGCCCAGTTATGCAGCTGGATTGCCGATTTCCTTCGTGAGCGGAGAATTCGCGTCGTTTCTGACGGCAGCATTTCGAGGTTCGTGAATGTGAACGCCGGCGTACCGCAGGGATCCGTCCTATCTCCCACGCTTTTCCTTCTGCATATCAATGATATGCTTCCACTTGGGAATATTCATTGTTATGCAGATGATAGCACTGTTCATGGGGGATATCATGGATTCCCCGCAGCTGGGCGCGCCGATACTGACAGAGAGCGATCTGATCTTGTCGTTGAGCTCAATAGGATATTGGACCTCATATCTGCATGGGGATCCAGTAATCTTGTTGAGTTCAACGCCAAGAAAACACAGGTTTGCGCGTTAACAACAAAATTGTCGCCGTTCCTTCCCATGCCTTCTCTGATGAGCACAGCACTTTCACCTCAGAGCAGTTTCACCTTGCTCGGTATGGAAATCTGCTGTGATTTGAATCCAAGGAGCTACATCGAATCTGTGATCAAAACAGCCTCACGGAAACTCGGAGTCCTGAACAAGGTGCGACGTTTTTTCACGCCGGACCAGTTATGCCTGCTGTACAAAACACAGGTCCGGTCTTGCGTTGAGTATTGTTCGCACTTGTGGGACGGCTCCGCCAAGTACCTACTCGATGCCTTGGATAAATTACAGCGTCGTGCTACTCGAATTATAGGCGACGAAGAGGTCTCATCACGCCTTGAACCTCTGCAACTGCGTAGAGATGTTGCATCGCTTAGCGCCTTTTACCGCATGTACCATGGTGAGTGCTCTGAGGAGCTGTTCAACCTCATCCCCCCTTCCCCGTTCCTGCTCAGAAGCACGCGTGCTGGCCTTCGTAGTCACCGTTTCACTACCTGCCGCATTCCATCGCGTACTAAAAGGTTCGGTGGCTCCTTTCTCTGCCGCACGGTTGACAAATGGAACTCCCTTCCGGCACATGTCTTCCCTCCCTCTTATGATATGGGGTCCTTCAAACGAGGCGTGAAGAGGCATATTGTAGGCAGGCAGGGTGGAGGCGGCTAGTGCAGTGAGGATTCCATCGCTGCACTAGGTTCCTTCGCGTTTGGATACCACTTTCCACTTAACATCAGGTGGAGTGGAGTCTGTCAGGTATAAAAAAAAAATAAAAAAAAAAAAATAATAATAATGTGCCTGTTTGCAGATCCTCGCATAGCCATGGTCCGCAGCAACCCCTCCTTGGTGCGTGCTCTACTTGCAGTGCTGCACGAGGTGTACTGGAGTTCAGCCGGGCCGGCTGTACGCTCGCAGGCGCTCAAAGCCATTCTGCGCTGCGTCTACTACGCCGACGCGCCACTGTTAAGACAAGTCCTCAAGATGCAGGTATAATACATTCAAATCTAAATATGAAAAAGCATGTTGATTATCATATTATGATATTCCGTTTTGTTCTTGTACAAAAACATAAGTATATGAACAAAAATCACGTTATGTTATTCCTAAGCCAGTTGTTATAAAAACTCACATTTTTAGACTTCCTATCTTCTTATTTTGTAAATGACTTAACATAAAAGGTAATTTTGACACACTTTATATATCTTCAGGTTTAGCCATAGGGCTACAGCCACGTATATAGGCCCATACTAAAGATTCATTGTAAATTATTTTAATAAAACTTTCAGTTTTGTTATTATTATTAGTTCAAAGTTTGAACAAACACAGAAAAAATCCTTCGATCCGAATGAGCTGGTGATTTTCGATCTTTCTATCAATTATAATAACAAAATGGAGCTTTTATGGGAGGCCAGCAGATGGGTTTGCCGGCACACAAAACTCACCAAATTCCCTAAACATCAAGGACCCCAATGTTTGAGGCGGTCATGATTGTTGTTGTTCATTATGGAAACATAAAGCGCTAAATTTACTGCACTGTATTGTACACAGTACAGGCCTACTGCTTAACTGAGTCAGTTCCCGAGGCAGTGAGGTAGCTGTGCGGTGCGCGAGGGGTGTGGTGACGCAACATGAGAGTTTAGTCAGGCATCCGTTTTACTGACGTCAACTTGTGTTTTTTATTTGCGGTCGTTTTGAGTGACAAGCACTAGCGATTGGCGACATAAGATGAGTCCTCCGATTAAGAGCCAAACAAAACAAATCTTTAATTAATTTTAAAAATGTGTATGTAAAATATGAATGTCCTCGATGTATATGAATAATCTAGTGAATGCATGCACCATTACACCGGTAGTCGGCAGCGCGATCCGCTAAACGCTTATATTAAAGTTGTTTGATTCGTACAATTTGTTTTCATATCTGATATCGTATTTTTGTTTTTGCATTTACAATTGTATTAGTATCGGATTTAATTATATTAACACATCCTTACCTTAATCAGGTGATATCATCTCACATCGCGGGCATGATGGCATCGAGCGACCTACGCATCGTTGTGGGCTCACTGCAGCTGGCCGAGATTTTGATGCAGCGGTTGCCCGAGGAGATTGGTGTGCAATTTCGCCGTGAGGGCGTACTGCATCAAGTCGCTCAATTGGCAGAACGACCGCCACATCATCAGACGCCTAAGCAGGCCAAACTGAAGGTAAACACGTAGTTAAATAACTTGTTGATTCTCACATAAACATAATAAGGCAAAGCTGCATAGCTTTACTCTCTCTACATAACGAGTACGAAGTTGAATGAATGGACCATTGTGGTCAATCACGCCACTCTGATCCACCACATAATTTTGTATGTCTACAGAGAAATTTATATAGTCAACAACCCCTAATAACTTTTCTTAATTCATTCACAGTCCCCGAGCAGTACATCAGTCCGTTCAAGCGGCGGATCGTCACCTCCGGCTTCCACATCTCAAACATCGCTGGATCACAATCTGTCGCTGGCTTTCTCCGCCTCAGGATCCTTTGTCACAACTAGCACTTTGCGTAAGTGTTGTTAAATATTTCTTCATAGCTAACTTTGTTAGTTATTTTATATTAGTGTGTCATGTATCTATTGCTGTAACAGTGGGCAGTGATGGCAGTGCTTCTGATCCAAATCAAGCTTCAGCTTCTACACAGGCCACATCTACTACTGTGCATCGGTAATACATATTTAAATATATAATTTTAGCAGTTATCTACCAAAAGTTCTCATTGACGTGTAATTGGTATTTTAATTTTGTAAGAAGCACTTTCGAAAAAAATTTCGCTTTTACATAATGTAAGTGATTAGACAGAGTGTCCAAGATCTTAACCATAAATCGGGTCTGGGGTGTTGCCCAATTCGTAACAACCTTAAAAAAATAAATTAAAAAAAATATCGACTATCGGAACATACTATAGAAAAATTTTAAATTATGTCCTGTACGATTACAAAGTTGCAAATTTTACTGTTTTAATTTTTGTAACGATAACCTAAATAGCCCAGCTAATGGACACAATGCCAAAAGAAGCACGCTAAAGTTTCAGAACAAAAAATAAATGTTGTTTTTTTTAATTGTTAACAGAAATTATAGGTATAAGACCTACGTCTTGTTTCTTAAAAAATTAACCCCAGTTTTTCTAAACAGGGATATTTCATGGTTATTACAAATAGAGCACACAATTGCCACGCTCCCAGATGTTTCTTATTAACATTGGTATTGTATGAGTACAGGTCGGGCAGCCCGCTCCAACTAGCTGAGATGCTAAAACGCAAGCGCGCTGTGAAACGTTCGGGAGGAGCTGGTGGCCGTCATGCGCGCCGCCGCGATGATGCTGCACCACACGTGCCATCTCCCGCCGCTGCGCCTACGCCATCGTCCCACTCACACCACGCACAACCCTCACCGCACGGTTGGTGCTACAAATATAGCATAATTGATATTATTATATATTTTCGGATTCATTTAATTTTACAATACGGCACACGCTTCTTAGAACTGTGTGTCATCTAGTTCTCATTGATTTTTGTTTTTTCTCAGGGTTTAGGCCCTTTTTAGAATCTGGTTCATGCTTTAAGGTTTTTTTACATTGTGAATCTAAGGGTCGTATTCCAGAACTCTACTCAATGCTCAAGTCAGGATCTGAGTATGATTTCAAGCACTGGAAATACGACCCTAATGGAATGGACTTGAATATGATTTCGAGTGCTTTAAACCGTGCTCAAATCCTGACTTGAGCATTGAGTAGAGTTCTAGAATACGACCCTAGGAGACTCTTAAAAATAGAAATCACGTTTTGTTTGATTCGTATCGAATTTTATGTTGTAGCGTCGGGCGTGCCGTCGGCAGCGCGGTCAACGACTCGCATGGGTGGCGCATCCAAAACGTCGTCATTCCTGTCCTCGCTAAACCCTTCCCGTTGGGGCCGCTCGCCGCACTCGCACAAAGACACTGGCCTGCTCGCCTCGCCCCACACATCCACCAACCTCTCAGTACAGAACAAGTAAGTTTGCATCGAACATCGTTACTCGTGTTTGCGTATGTAATTTTTATTTTTGTGAAAAGATTTTTTAAATTTTTAATCCAATTGTAGCTTGACATAAGCGTGACCCTGACTTAGTTTGACAGGAACGAGATAAAAATTCAAAAGAAGAAATTAAAATTTGCCTTTTATTTATAGAGAGAAAGTCCGTGAGTGGATACAATGGACCGCAGTGCGGCTGCAACGTGAGTGGGGCGCTCTGGGTGGCGGTGCAGGCCCGTTGGAGCAGCTGGCGGCGCTGGCGGCCGCGTTGCCGCATGCGCAATCGCCCCACCAGCGCAACGCACTCGAGCAACTTCGCGACACCCTCGTGCAGCATGACGTCTCGCCATTCGAGGTTTGTTTTTCGAATTTTAGGTCCTCCTTCCATTTATTTACAATTCGATTTAATGTACCTATAACTTTGAAGAGATATATATATATATAAATTACAAAAGCACACAAAATAATCAAATAGCTCACTGTCCTTTTTCTACACATTGCATGCGCAAAAGATGTTTTTATTATTCCCATTACGTCAGTTTCAAGAAGCTTATATAAACTTCTTGGTCATTTTCAATTGTTCGAACCACAAGCGATTGAAATATTTAGAACAAAAAAACTATAGAGTTGCTTTACAATCTTATTTTTAAAATGATATTTTTATTAAACGTAGCAGTACTTTTGTTGTTGTACTCGTTTTACGGCTTGGGATTACCTATGAGAAGTCAGAAGATACATTTGCCCGAAATAACTTTAACTTTAGCTTTAACAGTCAAATGTATTTTTTTAGGTAGATTACAAAATAAAAGCTAATTTTGTCTTTGTGAAAAGCATCAAAATTACTCGAAAGCGTAACTGTTTTATTATAAAGCTGTTTTCTAATTACGGATATATGAGTTTACGTTTAGTTGGGATATCGGTACGTTTCTTATAGTACACGCTTATTTTCACATTTGTAGTAGTATTTGTATGTATGTAATAAGTGAATTTGTACAAAACTCGACATAATAATATATGTAAAAATTAATTAATATTTACGAGAAAGGCTACTCCATTACTCTTGTGTTCAAGTAATTTTCAGTCGAAGCTAAATATGGTGCATTTTATTAAGTTTACAGTATAAGCTGAATTTGGTGTTTTTGGACCCTTAAATTGTTGCAAGCAAAATTAGACAGCACTGCAATAACGTTACAATTTAAATTAAATGTTTTAATTTTTTATATTTCGTTACATGTCACGTTTGTATAGGTTAACTTTGGACATTTTTTCGTGGATTTTGTATTTGACCCGATGTCCATTTGTTGGTAGGTCAATGCATATAAGCTAATAATTTGAAGCAAATTGCAATAGCAGTTTTGTTCGTCCTATTTTCCCCTTAATGTTTTTATTTGCTGGTTGTTTTTGTTTGAAAGGCATTGCTCAACATAGAGTGCAATTTTTCTTGAATGTGTAATACAGGTGAACCACAGCGGCGTTCTAGGTGCGTTGCTAACGTTCCTCACAAATGGGGACACTGAACCAGAGACGGAGGCACGGTCGTCAGACCGAGATGCGGAGGGCGAAGGCCGGCACTCCGCAGAGCAGGTCGCCTCTTGCGAGGAGCGCCTTAGACTGTTCTTGCATGTATTTGCGGATATGCCGCTTGATTCAGAGTAAGTTTTTAAATCCATTATCCAGTTGATAAAACGCTACTGAGTATTCGTTGTAACTTTTTGTATATATTGGAACCAATATTATTTATGGCTCTATATTATATGTATACGTAGTACTAAAGTAGCAGTAGAGCTCCTTGTGAAAGAATTCATTCAGGGAAGAAATGCCACCTTACCTATTTCTGCCGCTTAGCAATAACGTAATTGCTGCGTTCCGGTTTCGAAGGATAAGGGTGATGGTGAAATTACAGGCACATGAGACTTGTTAACTTATGTCTCAGGATGACGGGCGCGGTGGCACTGCAATTGTTATGGACAGGCGTGTCGCTTACCACCAAGCGCACGACAAAAAAGTGATCTGTATTCATTATCGTTGACTCAATGTATTAAATAAAATAAATATATAAATAGCGCAATCCGGACTTTGTCTCGTTCTTAGTTAATTAATATGTCCAGTTGTGTTTTCGAGATGTGACGTGTTTATTATTTCTGTGTGTAATTGATTGAGTCTTCTTTCCAGTTTAAGCGAATGGAATGACAACGGGGGTCCGTTGGTATTGGGCAGCAACGGCGGCGGTGCATTAGCTTCGCTAGTGTGCAAGGTGAATGCGTGTGTGTCGCACCTTGAGCAGTTCCCGGTGCGCGTGCACGACCTTCCTGCGCGCCCGGCAACCTCCGCGCTCAAGTTCTTCAATACGCACCAGCTCATGGTAAAGATCGCCTTTTCTCGAGACTGGTGATGTCATTAGAGACTGACTATCAGTTGTTCGTTATCTAAGGACACAATATTTTTTTGAGGCCAAAATGTGAATGTAATTAAAAAGGTGTCTAAATATATATAGTGATTAATGTACAATACAAATACAGTTTTCTACTTCGTCATCATCAACCCGTATATACTTCCCACTTCTGGTGTCTTTAAAATTAGATTATATAAATTGACGATCAACATTTGCTACTAACTAATCTGAACTATTTTTTTCAGTGTGATCTCAAACGTCATCCGTCGTGCACCAACCTGAAACAGTGGAAGGGTGGTGTCGTGCGGATAGACCCCTTAGCTTTAGTTCAAGCCATTGAGAGGCGAGTGTCACAATTTCTAATGTTACCTAAATTGCAATTCTTACAAAACTGTCGAACCGATCTTAAAGTGATTTAAGAATGAAAGCCCATAGAATTTAGGTGGATCTACCAGATATTACGTCGCCCGCCTTTTGTAACAATGTAACGCAAGCCAATTTTATAATTGATTGAAAATCAGTGCATGATAATATTGTTATTGCAGGTACCTAGCTCAGCGCGGGTACGCGAACGTGCGACCGCGTGACGGCTCCGCGACGACGGCGCACTCCGACGATGACGCCGCGTCCGACGACGATGTCGAAGACTCGCTCGCCACGCCGCCACATCACCAACCAACTGAGTTAGTATAAGCTTTAAACTTGGAATTTGGTCTGGATAACGAAGGAGAATGCAGTTTATTCCACTTTAGTCAACGACATCAATCTATAGACAAGACCATTACAACAACTACATGTTCCAAACAAAACACTATCAATAGTGATAGTGTCTTGTTTTAGACTTGAATTTTGTCAAAGAGCATCAGTACCGTAGTACCGTGGATAGACATTCTATACCTATTGGGAATGAGCTAGGCCGGCAGATAATATTGAGTATTGATGATATTTATCAATAGTTGAGGAATTCATTTTCAAAGAGAACCGCATCTGCGTCCGCGTTCTTGAATGTTTGACAACCAACTAAATGGTGTACAGCGTCTTCACCGCACATGAGTGAAACACAACGTGTGTATGGAACGCCGCATCTAGTACGCTAGTATATAGATATCGTTGACTTAGTCCTCGAAACTTACTAAATCTGAAACCTGTCTCTGCCTAGAAAAGGGCGTGATGTGCATAAGTCTGATAAATGAATTTGAAATTAGAAAAAATACTATGACTTTTTACTCATAACCCATATCTTTACAGAGACGTTACTTGGGTACGTTTTGCTTTTTCACAGCTCTGAACACAAGCTGGAGTTCTTGGTCGGTGACACTGTGTTACCATACAACATGACGGTGTACCAGGCCGTGCGGCAGTTTGGTGAACAGAACGACGCCGACACGGATACTGAGACTCCACTAGGTAGGACGAAAATCCTTGGCGAACTTTGTCTTAGCTAACTCAGTGGATTTTGTGTGTTCAGAATTATGTACATGGATTAACTTGTTACGTTGGTGAATTAGTTGGCATTTAATTTTTTTACTATTGACTTCGTGCTCCACAAAATATAAGCTACTGGCTAAGACACTTAAAACTTTATGTAAAACGTGTTTCTGCATCACATTGACAACAAATTCCAGAGCAGCGAAATTATGGTACATGACAAATGATAAATTATGAATCATGTTATAATTCAAATTAATAACTGTTTACAGCAAATGCGGGTATCTGGGTGCAAACGCACACGATCTACTACCGCGCGGTGGAGCCGACGGAGCAGCCACGCCCCGACACAGCTACCACACGTAAAGGCAAGGGACAGCCCACTAAGTTGTCGTCTAGACGAAAACCTGATCTCTTATGGAACGGTAAGACATCAATATACGGTTATTAAATAAAACATTTAATATAGGTATGAACTTTGTTAAATGTATAAAATGACATTTTTAGAGGGCATAGTCCCATCGCCCGAGTCTCCTCTTTTCGTGATACTACGTTCGCCCTTGATGAGCGAGGGCGAGGTGAAGGACGCGTCGTTGGCGGCACTGGGTGTGCTGCGTGCACTGCACGCGCTCAGTCGCCACTGGCACACGCTGTACCATGCCGCTTGCCTGCCCGACCATCGACCACTCGTGCCACATCAGGACTTCATTAATGCTAAGGTAACATTATTTACAATTGTACCCTAAAGACATTACTTACCGAATGAATGTGAATAAAAAAACTTTAAATGTATGTTCACACAATTAATCAATAGCAAAATGTGAGCGACACACCGATGTAAATTAATTTTCAAAGAGGGCCACATCTGCGTCCGCCATCTTGAGTGTGACAACAAATCAATGTATGTGTATGTGTAAAACATAGTATGTGTGTATGGAACGTCGCCTCTAGTACGCTAGTACATAGATATCGTTGCAAAGTATTAAATAGCACATTTCTTGATATTGATGAATTGTAGGTATTTGTGTTTTTACTTGATAAAAATTAAGCTTGTATACTGAATCCACATTAGCCAGGTTTAGGATTGGCTACACTTAAAAATAAAATAAGGATAAATCGTATGTATCTATGTACGTTATTCAAGGACGAATCTCGGTATACGACTACGATAGCTGGATCTAGGCTGGAATCGCCCGTTGTTACACGGCTTAGTGTAGGTACATATTTAAGGCAAGCTTCGGATACATTATCATCACACCTAGCAAGTATTCGCACCATTTGCGTGTACACGCGAACACACCCGGCTCGGGCGCATCACAGGGAATAACTGATCGCACAGGTAAATAGGTCATAACCTTCCCTTACCCCCATTGTTTACTTACGCTATCACTAGCGCTTTTTTTTGCTAATGCCATTGACCTGCACGGTCACTGGCTAATGCAGAGTTATCGATGTTTAGAGCTTTCGATTTAAATATTTTCATTTTTTATGAAAGTTAAATCTGATGAATTATTAAAAGTCAAGGAACAAAATTTGTTGTTTATGATGTTATACCATGGTCCTGCGAGGTTGTTAGTATTTTAAAAATAACCCTGTATATGTATATACATATATACCTACATGATTCAACTTTTTTATACTAATGATATTTTTTTAGCTCGCCGCCAAAGCCAACCGCCAGTTACAAGATCCTCTAGTAATCATGACTGGTAACCTACCTCCATGGCTCAAGAAGATCGCTTATGCTTGGTAAGAAATTTTAAGTTCTGTGAATATAACCAAGTTACTTGAACTCTATAATTGCTGCACATTAAAATGTTTCATGTAATAAGAAACCCACTAGTTTTACTAACTGCTGTAAATAAACAGAGCAATAACTTAAAGTCACATTTCAATTGCAGCCCCTTCATCTTCCCGTTCGAGTGCCGGCACTTGCTGTTCTACGTTGTATCTTTCGATCGCGACCGCGCGCTACAGCGATTGCTAGAGACGGGCGGTGAGCGCGGTGCAGCGGGTGGCGCCGGTGCTGGCCAGGACAGTGAACGGGTGGCACCTCGGCTGGATAGACGCAAGCGCACTGTGCAGAGGCCTAACGTGCTGAGACAGGCTGAACATGTTATGCATGAATTCGCGCACTCCAAGGTGAGGATTGGTCTCCGTTTCTCTATATAACTCTTATCCTTTGACTCTGTACTCCACTGCAAAAAATATCATTATTTTGTTCATAGGCTCTACTCGAAATCCAATACGAGAACGAAGTTGGCACCGGGTTGGGCCCTACATTAGAGTTTTATGCACTCGTCTCACAGGAGCTACAACGCGCTGACCTCGACCTTTGGCATGGCAGCGAGAACTTTAAGCAGAAAGTAATTATATTTATATATTTCGTTCTTAAATTATCTTAATTACCAGTAGCGTCTTAAAATGAGTGATATTAAAGTAACTATCAGAACAGATTGCAATATTTGTTGTTTGAAAATTCATATACATAAATTTTCACTCCATTTGTAACATCCTCCAATTTCTCGTTTTCAATATTAGCCTTATAAGTCTGAAATATATTTAAAATGTGCAACATTTCAGCCTACATCATTCGCTGGCGAGATAGTAAAGAGCCAGCCTCCAGTCGTCTCAGATCGGTCGTCAGACGCAGCGGCAAGACTCGCTTCCTCAGTGCGAGACGCCCTCAATCTCGATGAGGAACGTTCTCCAGAACCTTCAGACCTGGAGAAAGAGACTTCCATACCGTCTCCGGCGCCTGACGCGACCTTTGTGTCGTGGCCTTGTGGGTTATTCCCGCAGGCGATTGGTCGCAACGCGCGCGCCTCACACTTGTCACGAGTGAAGGCAAAATTCCGCTTCCTTGGCAAGTTTATGGCCAAAGCTGTTATGGATTCTAGATTGGTAAATACTGTGTATTTATTTATTACATTCATTAAAATGTTGACGTCGAAATCCCACGAAGGCGATTGTTTCCAAGTTTACTGCTAATTCTACAGTTAGAAAAGATATACTTATCTGACGTTTATTGCAGATTGATATACCACTATCGGTGTCGATGTTTCGGTGGGCGGTGTGCGAGGAGCGCTGGCTAACCCTGTCTGACGTACGACATGTGGCACCCGAACTGTGGCGCTCATTGTGTCGCTTGCGCCGCGTCGCCGACCGCGCAACACACATCGCGTTAGACCCCAGACACAGCGCAGACCAGAGGCAACAGCTTGTTAGTACTAGTTAATACCACGTTTATGCTTAGATTTAAATTAAACAATTTTAAGTAGTAAATATCTTAGCTGATTGTCAACGTTTGGCATAAAGGGCAAATTCTCTTTTGGCTCACGCCCAACAGTCGTAGCCAAAAATTATTTTGATCATCACCAAAAGAGATTAAGGGATGATATTTTGAAAACTCTAGTGCTTTGTAATCAAGGAGCAATCGTTGATGTGCATTGAGTGATGTTTATTATTATAATCAGGATGGTTGACATAATATCATCTCTTTTATGAATCCTGTACTCGAGATAGATGTCATTTAAGTATTCATAGCTTTTACTAAAATAATGACTAATTTCAGATAAGTACACTGGAGCTGGACGGGTGTCCGATCGAGGAGCTAGGGTTGGACTTCATCCTTCCGGGAGATGGGTGCACAGAGCTGCGGCGGGGCGGGCGCGACCTGCCCGTCACCGCGCACAACCTGCATAGCTATATAGCGCTAGTCACGCACTGGCTGCTTTACGAAGGTACTTGATGCCATATACTGTATTTACAAAATTATTATGGATTATCTAAAAATCAACTACAACTCTGTTAGTTGTTATTAACTTTTACTTGCATTACTTGATCCTACAACAGGAGTCGCGAAGCAAATGGAAGCATTCAGAGAAGGTTTCGAATCAGTATTTCCGCTAAACAATCTCAAGATTTTCTATCCTGAAGAGTTAGAACAAGTGTTCTGCGGCAGTCCTTCGGGTAAGTTCGTTACGACAAATATTGACAATTTCCTTTAAAAAGCCATTCGTACTAATACTGATTGATGATCGTAGGTGGTCGCGAGCAACGTTGGGACGCGCGCATGTTGGCCGAGTGCATTCGACCCGACCACGGGTACACAGCGGAATCGCGAGCTATTCGCATGCTTATAGATATCTTGGCGTCGTACTCACGTGAGGAGCAACGCCTCTTCCTGCAGTTTGTAACCGGAAGCCCACGTTTACCCACAGGAGGTAATAAAGTATTTAATTTTCTAACCAAAGTATTTAGTATAGTATCAATTATTAGGGCGAAAAGATACTAAACAAGTGTTTATTGTCCAGGTTTCAAGGCACTAAACCCACCGCTTACGGTGGTGCGCAAATCTCTAGAGTCTTCTCTAGACCCCGACGAGTACCTGCCGTCGGTTATGACGTGCGTCAACTACCTCAAGCTTCCGGACTATTCGAGTGCCGACGTGATGCGCGCAAAGCTACGGCTGGCGGCCTCCGAGGGCCAGCATTCGTTCCACCTCTCGTGAAGTGTTTATGTACCTACCGGCTCCCCTTCTCGTATACTATATTGTGTGATTGCGGTTAGTGATATTTATATTTACACGCCCGGTCCCGAAATACCCACTGTTTACGTGCAATCAGAGTGATTTATTTCAAAAATGTGACGGACACTAAAAGTGCTGTGCATTTTATCATTTCGTTTTCTCTTTGGATTATTTACTATTATATATATTTAGATTACATAAATATGTTTATAACTATATTTTGTGTTAATTTAATGTGATAGCTTTGTATATTTGTTTACGGATAGAGAGACTGCTAGCTCTCGGTACAGCGTATGGTGTCAGTGTGCGATGTAGCCGACCGGGCCGAGCGCGTGCGTCTCGCGTCCCAGACTGTACGTCACCATTGTTATATAAATATACTATAAAATACATAATTACATAAAAATAAGCTATATAACATTTCAAGAAGGACGACCATTTCTCCTTCGAGAATCCGACGAAGTAAAAATAGCATTTATTACCAAATGGTGTATGTCTTGATTAACATTTAAGTATCATTGATGGAGTAAAGAAAAGTGCAAAATTTAATATGTAACAATTTGAATAAAACCATGTAAACAATATTGATCAAGCATGCGTTTCCTTTGGCATTTCCTCTTCATAAAGGCAAGTTAGACATTAACAAAAACACAAACGCCATTTGCCAGTACCCGACATCCACCTGTTAAGGAGCGCAATTGTATTTCGGCATGAGTGATTATGGTAAAATAAATAAATAATGCACACACTCGGAAGTTCATTAATGTGAAAGCTTATGTTTCTGCTTGCTTCTTCACGTAGATATCAACATATTTGGATCATCGAAATGTGACCAGTCCCCGTAGCATGGTAACGCATGATAGTCGCGACGCGCGCGATAAAATTGAAATAAGCCCGCGCTATTGACTGTCTCAATCAGATCTAATTTAGATCATCATCATAGCTATCTATCATGCGTAGCCATGCTACGGAGGCTGATGTTTGTAAAGGAATCTTATGCGCTACAGTAAGCCAAACAGAAAGTTGCCTTTACTGATACAGGAAACTTGAAAACGTGGACATAGCCACGTGGTTTACTCCAGGCTCACCATTACGGTGTATTTAAAATTTTACAGCCAAGAATTAGTCTTTTTTAATGGCAAAAAAGTAGATTTATTCGGCTCACTGTTTTAAGTTACAACAATGTTTTATTATAATTGGGATAACCTCATTCCAGCGGCAACATTTTAAATCTCTAGAACCACAGTGTGAAGCTTAAGGCTCAGTTTACATTGCGGCTGAACAGAAGCGTCAATTTCACCTCTGCGCGAGAAGTCGTGCGCGGTCGCTAGAATGAGCGTATGGTGTATGTCTTAATGTCTTTTATTTGTCGTGAGCTTTCTCGCGACTGCACCTTGAGGCTGTAGTGTTTCGCCGTAAGTTTGACGTCACACTGCGCCTGTCTTCGCGCCACTTCCTGCGGGTTCGCCAGGCGTCGTCGACGGCAGCCGCGGAACTCTCGCGAATGCGCGAGCATTCACGAGCATGTACGAGAATTCCGCGGAAGACGCGTGTTGTGATTTTTGGATCGTATCTATTTTGTATGTTACACAATTGACCATTTTTACCAGAAATTCCATTCCATTCCGTTCCGCCGCGCCGCAATATAAATTGAGTCTAAATCTGATTGCTAGGTGCAATCAGATTTATACTCAAAGTCAAGTCAAACTCAAAGAAAAGTTCTAACCGCGAAATACTAAGATTAGTCGCTCCTTGGCTTAGAAGCTACCGTTGTAGTTACAGAGTAGTGGTCAAACCACTGCCATATGTCTGTTGGTCAAACCTTTTTTAGTATCGTGTATATGTATCGTATATAGAAGTCATACTGAATTTACGTTCAATCCAAGTCTAAAAATATACTATTTTGCAGTGATGTTATAAAGAAAGAATGTATCTAAAATAAAACAAAGTACTTAAAAATATTTCTTCATAAATGTTTTTGGGTGATTGAACGGTGACCACAAAAAAATAATATGGAATGTTTTCGCTTATTGCCAGTCGTCACCACTGGCTTTGTTCCCATTGGCGACAAATGGGAAAAAACTCATAATATGTTACCAGGTGACAAATGGGACGAAAATATCTGTCATTGCCGCTATCGACAAATGGAATTTAAAATACTCCATAGTATAAATACCCAATAATATAATAGTTGCCAGTGGTAACAAATGAAATCAAAAATCCCAATTAATGTTTGTTTCTTGCCGCCATCGAAAGGGAATAAAATAAAATTTGAGTTTAATGATAAAAATACAAACTGGATAAGCAGACAGTGTCCAGGCTATCTGAATCATTGTAAATGATTTCATTATTACAGTTATTTTAAATTATTGTATGATATTGGAAATGTCTTAAGACTGATTTTTTAATAAGATTATGTTTATAATGATAAATGCAACTCGAATTTTATTTCATTCCCGTTCGATGGCAGCATTAAAGAAATATTAATTAAGATTTTTTATTCCATTACCACTGGCAACTAGTGGGATATTTTAAATTCCATAAGATTTTTTATTCCATTACCACTGGCAACTAGTGGGATATTTTAAATTCCATTTGTTGCTTGGTTGATTTTCCCATTTGTCGCCACCTGGTAACATTTATGGGTTTTTTCCATTTGTCGCCTGTGTGACAAAGCCGGTGGTGACGACTGGGAATAAGCGGAATTTTTGGGCTTTTACCTGTTCTCCCGATCGGTAGGAGCGGGAATATTTTTTATTTTCCCATGTAACTTCATGACTAAAGTTTCCCTCGGTCCATTTGAATCAGCCTGCTACGATCTGCTGGGGGATTTATTCCCGAATTGAATAAACTTTAAAAATGTACATACCTCAGAAATGGTACATTTGATGATACTCCATTATGTGTATTATTTACTTGTAGTTTATGTAAATATACCCTGCACAATAATCTCTGCTCATGAGGGATCTTACAAGAAACAGGAGGTCATCCTTAGCCATAAATTGTTTATTAGAGCGGTTACACACGGCGACTATAGGCAGCGATGTCAATGCGCGACTGCATCCGATACAAACGCGCGATTGCATCGATGCAATCGCTTATAAACCACAAGTGTAGCGATGCAATCGCACGTTTGTATCGATGCAGTCGCGCGTTTGCATCGATGCTAAAAGTCGCCGTGTGTAACTACTCTTAAGTATAATAATTTTTGTGTATACGAATCCATACATCAACTATCAATTAAGTAATTTTGGTCTCCAATGTCTTTCGTACAAATCTCATAACTAGAACCGACTAATTTACAATTTTTGTGCCTACATTTTTAAAAACTATTATAGTGACCCTAGATTATGGCATTCAATATGGTCGGATCAAGGAGCAGCAGAGCTTCTTGTGAAAGAGTTCGTCCAAGGAAGTACTACCACTTTACGTATTTTTGCTACCAAGCAGTAATGTGAGCATTGTAGGTTTCAGTTTTAGAGGGTAAAAGGTGGAATGGAGATGGTGCTGGTGAAATTACAAAAAAAAAAGTTGGAAAAAGAAGAGTTGGCTGCTGGGCGAAAGACAGCAATTTTTTTGCCATTTATTTCTGCCTATACCAATAGTCCCTACCAACTGTCTCCCCTGATCAGCTGGGTAAAATGACGCTGACATTCGATAGTCCTTGGCTGCCTTCACTTTGTGATTGCAATATTAATCTTTCAACATAAAACGACAAATGAGACTATTGTTCTTCCACTAAGAGATGCCAATTAGTCGGTTCTAGTCGCAATAAACTAGATTTAGTTGGTCCGCCGTTCAAAAGTTATAAGGGTGTTGTACTGTCCACGCTGGAATAAGCTTATTCCAGTGGCACTATTTCTCAATCTCGAGAACCACAACACCTAGCTTAGATCTGATTACAATAAAAAAAATCGTGATTTAGTGGTTTCTTGTCGTAAATAACTAGATTTAGTCGTTACGCCGTTTTGAAGTTATTAAAGTGTTTTACTGTCCACGCTGAAATAAGTTTATTACGGCGGCACCATTTTTAAATCTCGAGAACCACAGCTCCTAGCTTAGATGTGATTGCACCCAAAAAAGTCGCGAAGTAGTCGGTTCTAGTCGCGAAATTTTGTTTCCAAGATAGAACCGATTTAGTATTTTAAGGCTAAACAGGTATAAACCTGTGTTAGTCTCTGAGCTCACGTACAAATTTTGCATAATATACAGATTTTTTTTTAAATACATGCTATTTGAAGGTTTTAGCAAAATATATAAAGTTATTTCTCCTTAATGGCTTTAGGATTTATCGATTGTTATGATATTTATTACTGTATGCATGTCGTGTTGGGCTCCTGGCTTATACGCGACGAACGAGACGCGTGGAGTACAGTCGCGTACGACTATTGATCAAAATAATTTAATAATGATTAATGTCTTTTGAATAATGACTGACTAACTGACTGATTGAGGGTCGTATTCCAGAACTGTACTCAATGCTCAAGTCACGATTTGAACAGACTTGAGTATGATTTCAAGCACTGGAAATACGACCCTAATGGCAAGGACTTGAGTATGATTTCCAGTGCTTTGAATCATACTCAAGTCCTGACTTGAGTAGTTTTTTTGAGCATTGAGTAGAGTTTTAGAATACGACCCTGAGAATGACTCTTATAATTTATAGCGCGTCATTTTCAACTACAATTTGTGTTACGGTTAAATGTGACAAAAAATTCAGTAGATATTTAAAATATTTATTACACTGTCAATTCAAAACTATTTTAATCACCACGAACTTATTCTATAACTTGAGTGATTTCACAAAGAACATTTGGAGCGGTGATCCTCCTTATACTCCATTCAAACATTTATTTCTATTCTATTTCCTTAATGGCGGCCACTAGGCTTAGGCCAGTGTCAGTTTCGAACATTTATTTAACTTTTGACATATGCATGCCTCCGAAGTGCCGTAATTATTGTCCATCGAGTACATAACCAGAAATAGAGACGAACGTCATTTCATTTGTTTGAAAACTATTCTGCCTGAATAGTTAATATATTCTGTGACGACTGCGCTCCGATTGGCCAGCCCGAATTCGAAACAATTGACGGGTGTCGTCAATTGTTTCACTTCAAATCGACCAGTTTAACTTTGCGATAATAGACGAAAATTGCAAAATTACATATTTCATTGCCGATGAAATGTGATTCCTTTTGTTTTGTAATTAGATGTTTTTCTGTTTATCCCACACCACCGAATGGAACAACCCCCCATTGTTAGAGATATTATCTTTATTACAATAAATACAAAATATTTTTGGAATATACGGAGACGTACACACAGGTCAGTTGTGGGCGCTGTACTGTTTCAGTTTTCTAATTTGTGATTTCAGCGCAAACGAGAGTTGATATTTAAAAGTGATATAAGGCCCATTTACCTGATGAGTTGCCAGGGATTTCGTCTCTATTTCTGGTTATATACTCGATATTATTGACATAGAACCGTTGTCCAAGTATAGACAAAAAAATATACTTCCTTCCTGGACTCTTTTATTTTTTAATTTTAGTGAAGCGACTTGCTCTTTAGCTGCGATATTTATCGAACCAACAAATTATGTAACAAAGATTGTTCAAGATGATAAATATTGGTACCTGTCTAATTAATTATAATGAAATGAAATAAGTTGTTAAACGCAACCATGATCCCAATCAGGCAATATCTTTTATTTTACCCGCTCACATGCACAGATAAGTAAAATCAATTGTTATAAAAAAAAACTAATCGGAAACGCATTGGAACATGACTATTTGATTAGAATTCGAGCTGTAAAAAGGTAAATAAATGGTTGGACGGAGTATAGAATACATTTTTCATGTCTACGATTTTTCTACATAAATGTACCTCCTATCAATGATAATAATTGAATATCTAATATCTTCTAAACAAAGGAGCGAATAATTCTAAAATTTTGCTTCTAGAACCGACTAATCCACGTCTTTTTCTGGGTGCGATCAGATCTAAGCTAGGAGCTGTGGTTCTCGAGGTTCAAAAATGGTGACGCCGGAATAAGTTTATTTCAGCGTGGACAGTGAAACACCTTAATAACTTCAAAACGGCGTAACGACTAAAACTAGTTTTTTACTACTAGAACCGAATAATCACGGCCTTTTTTTAGTGTAATCAGATCTAAGCTAGGTGCTGGGGTTCTCGTAATTGAGAAATGTTGCCGGCTGGAATAAACTTCTTACGGCGTGGACAGTACAACACCCTCATAACTTTTGAATGGTGGACCGACTAAATCTAGTTTTTTGCGACTAGAACTGCCTAAATAGCGACTTTTTACTGGCTAGTCAAATTTCAAAAACTCGACTATGGTCACGCTGGAATAAGGCACGCCAAAATTGAGGTTCTCCATCTTTGGGACTGGGGAAATGTGAGCTTGTAAAACAATTTTCAACTTTTCGAAATAGGTAATTATATTTTTATCCTGAGAACTGTCACAACGCAAACATTTAAATATATTATTATAATAACATACCAATTATGATGGACACCTCAAGCAACAATAAAAATTCCTTTAGTGATTATCAGGGATCGGAATAGGTAAATCTTTTTTACCTAAACTTCGAGGAACATAGACCAAAAATGGAGACTGCCTTACGACAATATTTTTTAGGTTCTGGACTCGAAAATCACTTAAGAACATTAAAAGTTGACACTATATTTACCTTTTTTCCGACGCACAGTGAGGATCTGCGATATTGCAGACATTAAATTTTTTTCACAATACCCCTCTCTAAAAAAATGCCAGTCGAGAGATCTTATTGTACTAATTAAATATTGTCATATCCCATTTTGCCATAAATCTAAGTGAAAGATCTTATTGTCCTAATTAAATATAGTTATATCGCATTTTGCCATAAATCTAATAGTTTAGTGGCACTGAATAGGCTGGTTTGGTCGCGCGTTTAGTTTGCAAATATATAGAATAGAAGATAGGTCTAATAATTCGTCTGTAGTGATTCCAAGACTGGATCGACTAACACTGCAACAATGGGACACTAAAGATATGGTCCTATACAAAAAATACACATTTTATTTTTTTCCTACTAAACTATTACATTTATGGCAAAATGTGATATGACAATATTTAATTAGGACAATAAAATCTCTCGATTGGCATTTTTTTAGAAAGGTATCCAATGTCCGAAACATCGCAGATCCGACCCACTGTGTGTCGCAAAGTTAAAATAAATATAGTGTATGTGTCTGTCCCCAAGTATGTAAATTTTTAATGTTCTTAAGGGATTTCCCGAAATCGAATATCTTTAGGTCCAGGACCTAAAAAATTATGTAAGGCAGTCTATTTTCTGTCTATGTTCCTCGAAGTTTAGGTAAAATAACTCTACCTATTCCGATCCCTGATAATTATTGAGAACAATCGGTGTCAGTAATTTCAAAAATAGAAAATACACATTATATAAACAAAACCTTACAATAATCCTTTGTTCTGTTACGTGATGCTATGTAACAAATTAGTATCCATTCTAAAAATTGGGTACAAGATTTTAATACTACTATACAATGCTAAACTCGCACTTAAAGTAAATTATTTACACTACAACCATTCTATTCAACCTAGGTATTCAACCTAAAATAATAACGAAAATAGTTTGGAATTACCTTAATGAAAAACACCTAACATATCCTTTTACATAACCTATTCCAAGAATATAAACCACAAAATGTAGTTACAATTGTCAAGTTTACAGTACCATTGCCATCCAACCCAGAATAAGACAAGATCCGCCGATGGGTGTCAGCCGTCTTAGGCTTCGGTCTCCAGTGAAAGCATGGTAGTAGCATGTCCCACAAAACATGCCCATTCCAACTATAAAGAATGCACCAGCCTGCAAAGCATAATGATGTGTCTTAATATAAGATCTGTACAATTTGCAGTACATTATGGAAAAAAATTAATAAAAGAGTGTGAAATCAGACAGGTAGATAAATATGATGGTCAAAACCAGTATATTTGCAGTTTCAAGATTAAAGTGGAAGGCAAAAGCTTCTTAAGAAACTCTACATATAACTTACAATGTAAGGCCTTCTGCATAGTGGCACAGTGACTAGAGCCAAAGTATGGAGGAAATGGAATCTATTGGCAGTTTCAAAGATTTTTTTTAGATCTTCTTTGGCATCAGTGTCAGGGAATGTCCGGTGAGCTCCCATAGCCCCAAGCACGACTGCCGTTGCTCCACTTATCCCTGCGAGCCTCACGAACGGCCCGGACTCTTGAGCCAGCTGCCACAGCGGCATTTTCACTATGATCGGTGGTTGTGCTTGCGGCGTAGACTTGGACTTAAAAATTCCCTATAAATTACATACAAATTAGATATGGAGTATTTACATATCTGCAAGATATTACGTTACGTACGTTATATTACGTTATCGTAAGCAAACATAAAAAAAAACTACCGATAACGTGTATCAAAATTTATCAATAATGTGTTACAGCACCTACACAACAGATTTTTTCACAACATTTCATGCAATTCAATCGGTTTTATTATGAAATTAACTTACTATATGGCGTAAGAAATTCATTGTGCCATCCGTCACCGCATTTAACATAAGAGTATCCGCCAAATTTACCATACCTTTAGTTCGAAACAAAATCAGGGATTACAAATATTTTGAGAAAATAATATATGATTATTGCACAAGAGTTTTACTCCGTCGCAACTTGCAAAAATTACATTACATACATACATAATAAAGTCTGTCCGTAGACGGAC